ATATGGGATGAAATCGGATAGGGATGAACGAGTTTAAGAGTTTTTAAGAGTTTTAAGAGTTTTTAAGAGTTTTAGCCAAATGCTTTATAATATAGTATAGATTGTAGGGAGTTAAAATCGTCATTTCAGTCATTCCCTACCAAATTTATATTAAGGAAACTAATTAAAATAGCTATTTTCACAGTGGGTTTCACCCATTAGCTATTTCTCTCTCAAAATAACGAAAATTGTCATAGGTCCGCAATTTGCAGAGGTGTCAAAGCATAAAAACGAAAAGAAATTTCTGAACCAGGTCCGTAATTGGAAGGACCAAATATATAAATTAATTATAGATCCGCAAAATATGTCCGCATGTGTTTTTCCAAATTTACATATTTGATCCCCGCAATTGCGGACTTGGTTCATGAACTTTTTTTGTTAATTTAAATGTAGGTAATATAACCACAAGTATAGTGTCTGATTAGTTTGAGCTTGGCTCCAAAGGTCAAAAGTATCAGGAGGTCTTAGGTTTAAATCCAAGGAGGAATAAAAATCCCCTTGTGGCCACGGAGGTTCAAATGTGATGACTCCGGACGATTTGCAAAACAAGTGGTCACTCTGATATTAGTCGGCTCGCATAGCAAGTTGGATATCCAAGTTAATAAAAAAAATGTAGGTAATATACTTGGAGATACTCGAAACACTCATATTCTTATTTAAAGTAGCAGATTGCATTTTACGTCATATGAATCATACGATACATTTCAACAGCTTAAATGATTTGATTAAATGTAAAGTAGACAAGAAGATAATTCGAACATCAATTGTATTTTTCAGTCACGAGGCAACTTGAATAATGACCTTACCCACGTTGGAGCTCGAGAAAAGGGAAACGAAGTTTTCGAAGAAACTCTCGATCCCTTGATCTATTTTGTGCTTCGGTTTTATCTTCCCTTCTTTCATATACTTTTCCATTTGTTGCGAAAATTCTCCAAATCGATTCAGAAAAGAACCGCAGAGAAATCCCTCCATCTTTACCTCTTTTCCAACGATATTCAGCAGGTTCTTTAACCCTTCTCTCTCCGCCGGATTCTTCATCAAAAGAAAATTTAGATGTGAAATAAAACACGACCATCATAGAAATACAGGTGACTTGTTAAGAGGGTAAAATGTATAAAATAGCAATCTATTTTCATAAAAAAAAATTATTATAGCATTGTACTTTAAGTTTTTTTATTATAATAATGTACTTTTAAATTATTTTTTATTAGAACATTGTATTTTGAAATTTTTTTTTCTATTATAACATTAGGTAATGTTTTGATTTAAATTTATTCATTATACTAGGTTTCTGTGTCACCTCAATGTCCATGTAGGCTGTCTACATGTGTTATACCGTTGACGTGACATTTCGTATTAAAACATTGTATTTTCAAAATTATTTTATTATAACATTACTATTTCCTATTATAATATTGTACTTTTAGTTTTAATATTTTATTATTTAGACACTGTATATTTAATCAAACATGGTTACCTATATTTAGTCTCCAAAAGTCGAGATTATAACAGTCGGTAACCTTTTGATTTGAATTAAGATTACATAACACAAGTTATCAGGTTTCTATGTCATGTCATTGTCCGTATGATATGTCAACGTGTAAAATTTTGTTGAGCTGACATTTCCTATTCCAACATTCTACTTTCAAAAAAGAATTGGTTTTACATATTGTTTAATAAATATATTAAATGAATTAGAAAATTTCTAAATTATTCATTAATATACCAATATTAAGAAAACTAATAAAACACAATTTATCTCGCCAAACATTTTTAGAAAATAAGTATTTTCTGAAAAAAAGAAAATAAAAAATCTTACGGTTTTCTTAAAATATTTTTAAAGAATATATCATACTTGTTTAAAAAAAATTATTTTACATATAAATGAACTTATTCATTGATATAATAATATTTATAAAAAAAAAAACTTGTAGAATATCTTTCTAACATTTTAAAAAACTTTAAAAAATATGTATTTTTTGAACAAAATAAAATAAGAAGTATTACTTTTTTTTACAAACAAAGTTGAAAATAATATAGAATGTTTGTTTAAGAAATATTTTACTCTGTAATATTTAATTTGCATGTAATTTAATAAGAAAAAATTTAAAAAATTGAAATGTTTTTTTTTTAAATTATAGAAACGAAAATTGAAAATAATTAAAAATAATTTGAAAAAGTTTTCCTTTTAGTCATGTCATCAAAATGATGTGTCATTCACATCGTCTCATTTAAGCCAAGGAAGCAAAAAAAGTAAGGGATTAACTAGTTTAAAAGGTAACATGTTATCTATTGCTATAATGAGTAGATTTTTTAAAGTATGATGCACTAATAAAAAAGTTTTTTTTAGTCATATCATCAAAATAATGTATCATTCGCATCACCACATTTAAGCCAAAGAAGCAAAAAAAAAAGGTAAGATGTTAACTAGTTTAAAAGGTAACAAGTTACTCATTGTTATAACGAATAGATTTTTCAAAATATGATGTCCTAATAAAAAATAATTTGAAAGTATATTGTTGAAATAAGAAAAAAAATTATAATGATATAATAAGAGAATTTATGAAAGTAAATTGTTATTTTATGTATTTAACTCTAGGAAATAAAAAAAAGCTTAGAATAAGATGCTTGAATGTAGAGGTGGCCAAAAATCGGTCTCGGGGTGGGCCGGGACAGGACCGGACCAAATCGATCTCGATCCCAAAATAGTGATCATGTAACCGATCCAGGTTCCGGTCCTGACCCAAATATGAAGGCCCGGTTAAGATGTATGAGGCTTGGTTATGAGAACCGGTCCCGGTCCTAGTCCCGATTCGGGCCCAAACCGGTCTTATGTAAAAAAATCGATTTCTTTACGTAATTTTTTTTGAAGTTTTTCTTAAAGAGTGTTATTCTAATACACTTGAAAATATGTAATTGGGTCAATTATACATATACTTTAAAAAAAATATTAAACGTTTGTGAGTTAGTATCTTCCCTCATATACCATATGACATATATATAGTGAATACAAAGTAAATGAGACAACTAAATACACTTAAAAAAATATTTTATAATTGATTTTCAATCAAATACACTTAAAAAGTTAAAAATATATTTTTTTTGAAAAAATAGTTCGGACCAGCCGATGCCATCTCTACTTAAATGTGGAGAGAGCATATATATATGATGATAACTTATCTACTTCAGTAATTCCTAGTCATTGCTTAATAATTAAGATAAATATTAACATTGCTTATTGACTTATTCCGGTGTAATACCGGTAATAAACATTTTTGAGTGTTTGGATAAACAATTTATACCGGAACCAAACCGATAATAAGAAGTTTTTGAAGAACTTAAACCCCTTCTAACTTATAATAAGTTCATAAGAACTTTTGTAAAAAAAAATATAAGTTGTTTCAAATAAGCAATCCCAAACACCCACTTAACTGAGATTGCTTATTTGAAACAACTTATGTTTTTCTGCAAAAGTCTTTATCAACTTATTATAAGTTAGAATGATTTAACTTATTCAAAAACTTCTTATTATCGGTTTGGAACCGGTATAAGCTGTTTCTCCAAACACTCAAAAATACTTATTACCAGTGTCAATACCGAAATAAGTCAATAAGTAGTTTTTACAAACAATCCCAAACACCCACTAAATTGATTAAGTAATAAACAAAGAGTGACTTACAGTGTTGTATTGAGATATCATCCCACTTATAGGTATACGAGCACCTTTATTGACATGATTCAGAACAGCCTCCAGCATCTTACCCCCAACGTTGTCCAAGTACAAATCAATCCCATCAGGAAAATACCTGCATTTTGTTAGTAAAATGTCGACAGTTTGAGAAGATTTAACGATGATATAAATTACAATTGGTCTTTACATATTAATTCAATTTGAATAAATAAGAGTTATGGTTCTAATTGTAAGTAATATGTAAAAACCAATTGTATTAATATGTAATTGGAACCATAACTCTTATTTATTCAAATTATATTAATATATAAAGACCAAAATCGTTAAAATTTATGGCTTTCGCCTCATTGTGCAGGTACACAACTAGTATCATATATGATATATGACTTTGGATCATGTGAGACAACATTTTTACACTTGAAACTTCATAGCAAAATACTATGAAGATAACCTTCACAGTGTTTTTGCTATGAAGGTTCGGATTTTTTTTACCTTCACAATATTTTCTTGTGAAATTTCAAGTGTAAAAATGTGGTCTCACGAAAACAGACTAGTCTCACGTGAACCCAAACCCTATGATATATTGTTAATGATTCAACTTACTTCGTTAGTATGGCATCAAAATCTGTTTCTTTATGGTAGTTGAATGCTTCGTCGTATCCGAATTCATCCTTCAAAACCTGAACCTGCAAATTTTTATAATGTTCGGTATTTTATCAAAAAGAGTCTGACTCTTTCGTTCAAAAGACCCAAAAAATATAAGGGGCTATTTGACAGTTGCTAAATAGTTTGGTGCAGAATGATTAAGTTGTCAGAATGATTAAGAGGCTCTCATGATATAGTGCAAAATAAAATATTATTGTTTGGTAATTGTTTACAATGAAGTTAGGACGCTTAATGGTTAAGGGAGACTTATAATACAAAATCATTCAGATGGTTTTAGAACCATTAAGAGACAGACTTTTTGTTTGTCAAACAAAATTTACTTTTTAACGATTCAGAGACTGCCTCTTAATTGAATTATTAAGTAGTAAACAAACAATCCCTAAGTTGGATTAATGATGACATGAATCGCCAATAAATTGAACACACCAACAGTGTCTAACTTATAATCGTACCTTCTCATCGGAGCCAGTACTTCCAACAACTCGACATCCTTTTAGCTTAGCCAATTGTCCGGCAAACATTCCGACCCCACCAGCAGCCGCGGATATGAACACATTTGATCCAGGATCAGGGTTCCCTATCACCTTTATTCCGACCCATGCTGTAAACCCCGGTACTCCTTTTATTTCACGCATCAATATTTACATTCTTAGTCGAACTCATAAAATAAATACGTAACATGTTATGATAGTAATACAAGTTTTTAAAATATCAGTATTGTTGAAGCATTAATTGGTTACCATACTGATGTGGTATCCAACTGGGTATTATTTGTTATTTAACCCAATTTCATTACATCACTCACTATATCAGTATGGTAACCGGTTAACGTTTCAACCGGTCATTCAGTTACTTAAATGCTTAAAACTTTACATCTTATGTACCAAAATGAAAGTTGTGAAAGTGCGTTATCCAAAATATGAATCAAGTTAAAGTACATTATTTTTTCATACAATTTACCTTAGAAGTTATTATAGAAAAAAGTTATTTAGTTTTCTATTCATAGTTTAGACAAGAATTTAAGTAAAGTAAACTCAACCATTTTGCAATGCATAAAATTATGTGGGCGTATCTTAGCATGTTAAATATGAGATTTTGAATATGGCCCAAATTTACATGTGTTTAAGGTCTTTTATCGACATGTGTAAAACTATAATCAAAATTATTTAGATTCAAAACATTAATTGTTTGGTTTTAGGTTCAAATCATTAATGGTTTATGTTTAGTTTCAGATTGTTAATCGTTTTAGGTTTAGCCTATTTTCGTTTTAAACTTATATTATCTGTTATCTCATTTATACAATGTAATCGAAAGTTTTGAATGTAACAAATTCTCCAAAAAGATTGGAAAGCCCCGGAAAATTATATTTACCAATTTACCTTTTATTTACTTAAATTTATTCTCGTTATTAATTAAATTTTTAGAAAAGTTTTTAATTGAAATTTTTTATGTTTTTAATATATATTTTTATATATAATTAATAAATTCATAAAATAAATATTTATATTTCTATTCGAGTTTATTCAAGATAAATGTCAACTTTCAAAATTAAGTCACCCAAAGCTTACCAGGTAAATGTTTAACAGTAAGAGTCAACATTCCCACTTAGGGGTCGTTTATTAAACGCTTACTTAGTAAGTATTTATTGGGTAATTTTTCTTACCGGATGAACATAACAATGATAAAAAATCTTACCCGGTAAGAGCAATGATAAAGATGAAGAGTCTTACTCGGTAAGCAAGAGTGACGACTCTTACCCGAATAAGCACTTACCGGGTAAATTGTTGTATACAATATTATTTTGATGTACTACAATCTTATCTGGTAAAATAAATTACAGTGTTGATTCTTAATGGTAAACGCTTACCGGGTAAGCATTTAGGTAAACGGCTCCTTAGTTTACCAGGTCAGATTCTAGTCCATCAAAACAGTATCGTATATAACATTTTGCCTAGTAAACGCTTAATGGGTATAAGTCGCCACACTCACTTATGGGGTAAGACTTTTGGTCCCCACCAAGTTCTTACCAGATAAGATTCTTGATTTTTGTCATGTTAATCTAGTAAGCATTTACCGTGTAAGATTTTAGTAAACGGCACCTAAAGTGTCTATTTTCTAATCATGCCCTTAATTAAATAAGATGAAGAAAGTTATTATTCTATATATAATTAAGGATATAATTTTTATTTAATTAATTAAAAATAATAATATCTACGTATTCCTAAGACCGAAAAGGTAATTTACCAAGACAACTAAGGTAATCAGGCAAAGAGATGTCGGCCGTTGGATCAATCTTTCTAACAAAATCGGACGGTGTGATGCAATACTCAGCAATAGGGAAAAAAGGGTGAACGACGATGTCACCCTCACTGAAGTTGTTGTTTTTCGATCGTACGACCCTCCCTATCCCGTATCCCGTTATCACCTGCGACACGTAAAACATAACATTAATTTTAAGAGGTTTACATCTTAAATTAGGTTAAAACGCATCGTAAAATACATTAAAATGTAATTAAGTTTGCCTTAATTCTTATTTAGTTTAACTGTTAATTTTTTTCCTCAATTAGTTTAACAACCGTTCAATTCTTTCTATTCCGAACCAATTTTACCTGATAAACTGAGTTTTTTTTGTTAACCTGGATATCCAACCCGCTATGCGAGCCGACTAATCTCAGGGCAACCACCTGTTTTGTTTTGCAGGTAGCCCGGAGTCACCGCATTTGAACATTCATGGCTACAAAGTGATTTTTGTTTCTTCTTAGATTTGAACCTGTGACCTTCAGACACTTTTGACCTTTGGAGTCAAGCTCAAACCAATCAGGCACCACCCTTGTGGTTATAAACTGAGTTTTTCAAACTATGTGGCAAGTGGTATTGGTTGATTTCGATTTCACAAAATACCATATAATTAAAAACCACAATATAATTTGACAACTTGTAAATTTAGGCACTGTCAAAACCCTTATGATTATGGAGATTCACCTACGATAACTTCAGGTTGTTCAAAGTTGTATGGTGAATAAGTCAGTACGCATAAATCAACCAAAAAACCCACGTTATCAGGAAAAAAACTCAACGTATACGTCATCAATAGTTATAAGATGCAAGGGTACGAATAAAAAATGTAGCAACCAAAATTTTTTGGTTATTTTAAATAGAAAATATGACAAATTTTTATTATAATTTAATATAATTTTGGCCTTTTGAATGAATCATCATTGAAAATTATTGAACTTATATTATAAAACGGTTATTATAAACTTGTGGTTTTTAAATTCACAATTATTAATTATTAATTAATGAATTAATTTTTCTTCCTCAATAATTGTAAACGTTAACAAATGGGTTAGATTGGGGTGTCAATTTTTTTAGGATTAAAAAAAATTCGAATTTGAATTTGATGAATGATGGTGTGAGAAAATAAATTATTTATACTATATTATAAAGTATTTGACAAAAATTCTTAAAAATCATTTTTTATGCATAAAGTATTATTTATTAATACATATTACTTAAAACTCAAGATTGCAAGTAGATTGTGCGTAAGTACAACTTATTAAAACTTCATATCTAAATTTATGTAACTAACTGCAGATAAACATAATCAAATACATGATAAATATCTCATTTTAAATATAAAAAATCTAAAATATAATTAGAATAATCATTAAATTATAACAGAATACTTAATTATTATCTTTATAAAATA